TCGGTTATCAGGATTTTCATGATTAAGTAATTAGTTCCTAATATTTTGATTCCTCACTGTTCTACGATTGATTTTATAAGTTCGTTATCCTTACTGTCATTGCACCTGACTAGGAGACAATATAAAATAAAGGGTCAAAATACATTCAGACGGTTCGAAGCTCGGGGTATTACTTGTGTAATTTACTGCAGAAAGCGATTGAATCTTTAAAAAATTACTCGGTTTATTTAATCTTTTTCAGTGTTTGAATAGTGCTACAAATCAGTACTAAACTAGAAGGATCTCAACATGACAGCAACAAGTACCGCAAATGGCACTGTTCGGCAGAGTACAAACGGACTGACAACAATGGAGCGTACAGGCAATATAAACATATAAGTAACATATGCACGAAGGCTATAAGAGATGACAAGCTTCAGTATCAGACAAAGCTTATGGACAAATTTGTCTCTAATCCCAAAAGTTTATTCCGTTATGCAGCCTCTCTTCGTCAAGCGAAAACTGGAGTTTCCCAACTGCTAGGTCTTAACAGCCCGACCAACGACGACGGCGACGCCGCTAACCTTTTGGCTGAACAATACTCTCGTACATTTCAACCGACCCACATACACTATACTGACGAAAGCTTCATCTGCGACTCCAAAGGACTTTCCAAAGTGAACCTGAGCGCTGACTGGTGTTCCGAAAACTGCAGCACTTAAGATTAGACACTTCTCCTGGCCCGGACATGGTTCATTCCGCCATACTGAGGGAAGCAGCCTCAATCTTGGCAACGCCGCTTAGCGTGATGTTCTCACACTCACTAAGCCGAGGTAAACCACCGGCAAATGGAAGCTGGCTCACATCACACCAATTTTCAAAGGAGGTCGACGCAGAGAACCTTCAAGTTACCGGCCGGTTGCTCTTCTCTCAGTACCTTCAAAAATCATGGAGTCCCTGATATGTGATGGTATAAATGACTATTTACTGTCCTTAAGTTTCTTCTCACTCCAACAGCATGGTTTTAGGAAATGCTACTCTTGGATAACCAACCTGCTGACTGCGGTGGACAGATGGACAAGCATCCTTGACCACAAGGAGAAGGTTGATATCATCTAACTAGATTTCTCAAAAGCTTTTGATAAAGTTAACCATACATGTCTTATCAATAAGCTCAAACGATTGGGTATCAGACCACCTCTAATCGATTGGCTCACTTCATACCTGAAAAATCGACATTTTAAGGTTAGGGTTAATTTCACTTTATCTCAGACTATGGAATGTGTTAGTGGGATCCCCCAGGGATCAGTACTAGGACGTCTTCTCTTCTTGATCTACATAAATGATCTTCCTCAACAGGTAACGTCAGACTTATTACTTTTTGCCGACGACGTGAAACTTAGGAGAGAGATACACAACCAAGACGATATACAGGCACTTCAGGAGGATCTGACTCGACTTCGAAGTTGGGCAGACGATAATGGGCTTACCTTTAACAGTTCAAAGTGTAAAGTAGTCCATCTGCGACATTTCGCAGACTACAGTTACAACTTAGGAAACTCCTCCCTAGTAGTATCCCAAGTCGAAAAAAATTTAGGAGTCCTGGTGCCCCATGATTTAAAGTCTTACGCTAACTGTGACAAAAATGACTTCCGAGCAAACCTTGCACTGATAACATCGAGACGCATTTTTGGACAGTTTGACGGAAGAACTTTCCATATAATGTTCAATAATTTTATCCGTCCCCATTTAGAATACAGAAACATAGTAATTACCCCCTCACTCCAAAAGGATAACGACACCCTGGAGCTTTCGGAAACCGTTTTAGGAACTGAATGGTTTGTAGCGAGTAAGAGCATGTGCAGTGAGAAGTCCCAATGACCGTCCACATTGAGTTGGGGGTTAACATCCCAATCTACTTGTTGTAGATAGTTGTGTAGAGCTTGCACATTCAACCGTTTAAAATTCCAACGCAAGTTATTGGTGTGGTATCTTAGCTTAGTTTTGCTGACAAAACTGAAGTCTATGACAGCATGATCGCTCTTTCCCAGAGGAGTCAGGATTGAGAGGTTGCCAACTAGAAATTCTTCGTTTGTGAATATACAGCCCAAGCGCGATGGTATATGACTGTTTCTCCAACGAGTTGCCGACCTCACATGTTCGTACAATTCCATGTCATCGATGAGGTTGAAGAACCGAGCTTCAATTGAGTTGTCGCCTCCAGTATACGTGTGTCCCGCAAAGTTGACTCTAGGGAGATTAAAGTCCCCTAGAATCAGAATGTGTGTGAAACCAAGACGAGTAGAGTGGGATAGTCCTTCCAGCATACGACTATCGTACTCGATGTCGGCAGTTGGCTTCCTGTAAATGACTCCGACTAGACACCTCGAAGTACTTGACAATCTTACAGAGCACCATATAGATTCCTCAAGATTGTTAAACTGGAGGTTATGAACTTGATGCACCTCCAAGCAAGAACGTATGTAAACAGCTAATCCTCCCACAAATCCTGATTTTCTGTCATTGCGGAACAAAGACATCCCAGGTAGTGCTTACTCATGGTCCGAGACCTGAGAAGATATCCAGGTTTCAGATATTCCTATCAGATGGGCCTTATTAGCATTGCTAAGTTCACGTAGTTCATCCAATTTGTTTGGTAGACTCGCGGCGTTCATATATAAGCAGTTTATGCTTTCAATTTGGAACACGTGAGCTTCTTCCTGTTTGTCTGTATGATCCTTCCGTGAATGGACAGGTAGCCCACCTATATGAGGTTTGCCGAGGTGGTAGGCCCTGTCCTTTACACGTTTTTTTATCGTCTAGACAGTCCACGAGTAGAATGATCAGCTCCGACTTGCCTTTGTGTTTCGTCCTAGTTTCGTATGGCCTATCCGGGTGTATGTGGATTCCAGGTGGCAGTCGACGTCTGTTGGCACGAAATGCTTCCAGGGTTGCGGCCGCCATATGTGAAGATGAGAAGGTTATCTTCATTAGACGGGGTCTAGGATCACCATCCTTCTTGGTTAGTCTCGTCACATGCTGAGTCAGTATGTTTTTGAGCCTCAAGGACTGTTTGATGAAGTTCCATTCCCTGATGTCAGTCTTTGACTGAGTAGGGTCCGTATTTTCCGGTACGCCTTGTGTGATTATATTCCTCCGGCGGAAAAACTGATCGCGAGTTTCTTTGGGGATGTTCCGGATGAGATTGCGCTCAGAATACGGTATGTCAGGCAGTATTATTACATTCCCATCTGATTTCAGTAAATGAGTTGCTAGTAAGACATCCTCTATGTCGGTAGCATTCTTAGGTGTTACACGAAGTAGCCTCGGGTGATTTTGATGCTTAGATTCCTTTCCCCGAGTTAGCCGTGTGACTGTCAAAGGCTCTATTATTGGAAGTCCAAGTTTCTTGTTCAATTCTCCACAGAGCATCCTGTCATTTTTGTCCTGCAAACTGAGAGAAAGGTCAGGGTTGTCTTTGAAGTTCATGACTATAAGAGAGTCATCACGAACCGTTATTGTCGTCCCAGGTTTTCCGGTGCGTTAAGGTTTAGCACCTTGTTGTTTGAGGGTCGAAGCACGTTTATGAATCCTTGGCTTTTTGATGACCGGACAGACAATCTTGGGGGTAGACTGTGCGACCAGATCACCAGTTGACTTCCGTTCAACAGCTGGGATGTTCAACTTAGACTGTGACGCCTGGTCCTTTTTAGCTCTTTTGACATGGGTCCAATCACCTACAGAGTTTTTGGGAACCACTGTCACGTTCAAGGACCTTGAGCTGTGAGACCCAAGTTTACTGAGGGAGTCGAGTACTGTCGTCGTATTCATGGTGCTAAGTTTCAGCGTGTCATCATTAATGATGTTGCATGCTCCGTCGTTGGTAGACCTGTCGACATCCCAGTTCTCGTTTTCAATGCGCTCTCTTGTTTGTCTACCCATTTTTTGACTGTCTTTTCCCAAGTTTGCAGACAACTTGCTCTGCAGACCTTTCAGTAGGACAATGATATTACTCAGCAAGACTGCAGCATCCGTGCTGCACGTAACACATTCCCACTTATGATCCGACTTACTGAGTCTGTTGTAAGCAGTTGCTGTGAGATCTGTGAACGCTTCGTGGAACCAACCTTTGCAGTTGTCGCACTGCATGCCAGATGCAACAGCAAGATGGCATCCAGGTCGTTTGCATGAATTTTTCATGACTGTATTGACATAAACTGCGTTGTATATGCTAGCAAAAGCCTAAGACCGTAAAAAATACACTTAAAAACACACTGAAAACGGACAACAATGGATATAACGGATGAGATAAACTGAACTAGTCTTTACGTGAAAAACTGAAAAAAACCGAATAGTAAGCTGAGGCAAAACCACAGTTAACTATTAAATTGGGTGAAACTAAAAAAAAGTAATCTGCCAAACGTTTAGCTCAGGATAGATTCTTTTGGTCAGAAATGGTACTTTTGTTGCGTAAGAACACAGCAAGCGTTTGATAAATGCAAATCACGTTAGGACTAAACTTCCCGTTCGAAAAGCGCCTCCAGTCACTTAACCTTTACCCATTAGAGTATAGACGTCTTAGAGGTGACCTTCTGATGGCTTACAGTATCCTTAACACTTCTGGACATCATCTCAAACACCTACTTAAGCTTAGTTCCAACACTAACCTAAGGGGTAACACCCAAAAACTGGAGACACAATATAGCAGAACGGACTGTAGATACAACTTCTACTCCTTAAGAGTTGTCGAATGCTCGAGTTCGCTGCTGGCCGAATAGTCCGCGCGACTTCTCAGGAGTTCTTTAAGAGGCAACTTGATCTATTCTTAAGGACTAAGGATAGTATCACACTATGATTTACTAATTTCTTTTCCTCTTTTATTGTTAACATACCTAGGTTCCTGCCTGGAGGTTTTGATGATCCCCTGCTACTAGACACGGAAGCCTGTTAAGCGAAAGCTTCGTCTATTCCGTCCACAACCATTTGAAACATTTGAACGTGTTGATTATTGAAAAGTATGTGCTTTTTAAACGGACGAACACGCATGAGCTACTCAACACCTGTTTGACATTAGCGCTCATGTCAAAGTTAATCCATTACCGTGACTAGTACTTCAGTAGTTTGTACCAGTGCATACTGAAATCCAAAGTGCTCAGTTCCACCGAGTCCACATAAAATTTTTACGCATAATAAAGGTCAGTTTGGAACATGAGTTATTATACAATGTAATTAAGTACTTATCTACAAAAGTGCTGTATTTCATTATGGTCATATTCATGACTTGCTCTTTCAGTCTCTACATAGTGTCACGTGCAATTCTTAATCACATAAGCGTGTACAGTTTCTTAAGGTGTCGTAAAACTGATAGTATTTAATTATCCTAATACAATAGAATTCTATTGTATTAGGATAATTATTCATTTCCCTCCGTATTGTTTATACTTTGAATATACAATGCAAGCATCTACAGAAAATGACAGCATAGTCAGCTAACCCCAGGCTCCCAACTTTGGGGAAAATTTAGTCCATTTTGGGGAAGCCTCTATAGTAAATTTTGGGGAAATGAGACAAAAAACCCAAAATTTCCCCAAACTTTGGGGAAGGCTATTTCACTTTGGGGATTTCCCCAAAGCTGGCAGCTTGGGACAGCTGTACAAATGAGACGTTTCATTCTTATGGTTACTCATTTCTTACTGATATAACCAGTTTAAGTACATTGCGGATTATTTTCCGACCGGAATATATTCAGCTTTTAGTTTGGGAAAGTCAGGGAGCGAAAGACTTGTGTAAATCCTGTCTATGAAGAGTCTTTCATTTGATAGTGTGCGCAACCAAGGGTTGTCAGTTTAATAAAGTCATTAGTCAACCAAAAAGTGTTTGTTTGTCCGCTTGTGATTTATTTTATAGTAAATTCCCTTCTAAAATACATGAAAAGTGAAGGCATACCAAATCCAAAATTATCTGGCAATTTGAAGACTGATCTAGTCACCTTCAGTCCTTCCGTATTTGAAAGAGAGTAGGTATGGTTTAGGCATGCCACAGCTTTGGGGTTCAAATGATCAACTGAGTTGGAGTATTTTGAACTTTTTTCAACATCTGACTTCTTTAAATAAAAGGTAGCTCATCGTATCGAATCCTCGGGGTTTGGTTAAGTGATTGACATACAAGATGCCATAAATGTCCTGATATCTATGTGCCTAAAAGCTTTACGTTTTTCCCAACGGGTTCCGAAACTCTTAGTAGCTTCTACTGGACATTATACAAGAGCTGTTCGAATCTTGGTGGATAATGGTCCCTAAATCACTGTCTGATCAAGGGGTACCTTAACATTATTCACTAGTATTTATTTGTGACTTGTTCAGTATTCATCATATCACACTTAAAAATATTATTAAACATCCTAGTAGTTAATTCGTCTTTTTGAAGCTTTGCACTGCCCTCTCCGTTTTGTACCTATCATTGGCATAAAGCAAGACTAAGGACAACAGTAGACCTGAAAAACCTTGCAGGTCCATTAGCAGTTTTTCGGGTTTTTTTTCAACCTTTTTTTGTATTTGTTACTGTTTTTTGCGTAAGTAACTTGTTGAAATACCCTGTGCTGAGAATTCTATATTGTACCAAAATATAATATTGAATAAAGCCATTAATAATAATAATAATAGTTGTCCAAAGATTACCTTAGGAGATTTCACTAAACACTATTTCCTCCTACAACTTCAGGTTGATTCGTACATTCGTTTAGGTTTAACCAAAAATTAACTATCCTTGATTCCAATGTCACTCAACTTCGACAACAATGCTATGTGTAGAACTTTGTCAGAAAGCTTGTTGCTTTTGACAGCTTCATCTGTAGGTACCTTGTGGTTGTCCAGATAACATCAGCTTTCCTGTGCCACTAATTTGTTTTAAAGCCTAATACTTTCCGATGGACATCAATTTTTCATCCAGATAGTTTGGTGGTTCCTTGCGAATAATATTCTTTAAGGGCTTGGAAGCTTCGCTTGTTGCCTTGACTGGACAGTAATTTTCACGAGCATACTGAGTGCTTGTTTTGAAGAGAGAACTTCCAATGGTTTCTTTCACAAAAGGTGCGGATTCCTTAAGCTTTCTAGGATGCATTTTGACTCGTCTCGTTAGTTTCCCTACATTAAGTTCACTTAGTAGACCAAAGACGAATTGTCAAATAGTTAATGTATTCAGATTTCGACTACTATAGTTTGACTCGCTTCAAGGAAGGCATCTCTACTAAATGTACTTTAGTAAGGTCGTTAGAGAGTACCTCGTTTTTTGAGTCATTGTCTGTTAGCGGAGTATACATTTGATTAAAGCACGTCCCGTGCAGGATTATTCTGAGGCACGCTGGTTGGCTATTTCTTAACCATTCAGCGCTAGCGAATGCTTACAGAAGACCCTAAACTCTTCTCGTGTAAAGACCATAAATATACTAACGTTTTTCTTATTGTAATTCCTACTTCCATCTACCATTTTCATTTGGAATATTATTTCGTTCCTGTTTAATCGTGTTCTGATTTGGGGACTTGTCGAGTGAATTGGTGTCCAAGAAGACTAAGCAATAGGAATAGCTGGGTTGTAATGAGAGAAATTATAACATTGTCCACCACCGATGATATACAATCATCATCATCTAGTTTTGGGGGTAATCTGAACTCTGTTTTGGTTATAACGACTTTCCAAAATACAACACTCTGTCCGGCTCATGTACGGAAGCGAAGGTTTCAGGCATTCTATAATCGCTAATATCCCTTGCTTCATGCTAACTTTTGAATCTTCCTGGAGTTAAGAGGCAACTGTTTCTGATTCTTAACTTAATTTCCTCCTACACCGTTTCTCCTTTATGAACGTCGCTTTTTTTGAGCCACGATGGAATGTTTCTTGAATTGCGTTGTATTATTTAGATTAATGTCCTAACCCTAATTTTTTTTTTCAGAATACAGTCCTTATTATACCTGAACTTAGTCACGTTCATCCACGTATTCAGTAGTAGCTACTATGCATGAATGCTACACTATCGCTTTCTGAATGGGCCAAACCACTAACACTTAAAACTTTCTCGCCGAGGTGTGGTATTTTTCTAAAACCACAGGTTTTTGGTTCCTTTAAACTACTGCACCGTAAAAGCTACTCGGTCTGGAATTCGTTTTCATTAATAAGGAATACCAACTTTTTTTTGCGCAATTCAACCCAAAGTATGTCTGCAGTATGTGATGCTCCCAAGTTTCAGACCAATGTCATGCCAAAGGTTCAAGAGTTCTACCGCCGACCATTACCTCGTCATTGTATTCCTTTTAGTTCTCCTGAAGGAAAACACATATTTCGCGAGGCTTTATTGTCTGGACAAATGGAAGCCTACTTCTCATTGGCTTCCCAATTTTGCACACAAGTAAGATAAACCTAATTACACAGTTTTTCACATGTAGATTTGGATCGTAATGTAGATTAGATTTCAGTATTCCTCTGGTTATGTAGTAATTAGCCTACAGCTAATGTATAGATTATGTGTAGATACACTAATTAATCATTAAGTACTAACCAATGCTATGTTTTTCTAATTATTAACGCTATTCGGACTTTACAGATCGATTTGTTCTGTGGCCACCAGTATGTTATTCGGCGTCGCGTTCATTGTTTTGATTTTCTGAGTGATTAGGCAAAGTCAGGCAAGTAACCACGTTCTTGTTCTATCTGTGGACTCTGACAACATACATTTACCCCACAAAAATCTAGAATATTAATCAATAAAGCTAACATCATTTAAGGTCGATGCAGTGAATGATCTAGTCAGTAGTTAGGAGAGCACTTTCAAGAAACTAGTTTCGTTTGCAGAAAAAAATAAAGCTAGAAAGGAAGTGTTTGTAATATGGATGATGAGGAATCTAATGAGCGAGGAGGGCAACTATTAAGAGATTCAATTAGTACTGGAGATGTGAGGTTAACTGATATTTAACTTTTTTAACTGCTTCAATCACGCAGTCAGCTGAATATTCACCAAGTAATAACGTTTCTATCGTTCAACTCAGTTCTGCATTATACTTTATACCTTGATTTTTCATAGTTAAAAATGTGGACGTATTTAAAAAAGTTTAATTGGAAAGTAGTCACTATTATCTGAAGCATTTGAGCACCTTCACTTATCATTGTTAAATTCCAATATTTTATTGTTGGTTAGAAAATTTAAAAGTTGGATGGTGTTATGGTTTGAACCCCTTCACATTTGTCCCAGATATGTAGTTGTGTATCCCTAAATGCTTAGTACACTCTGAACAGTACTAAACTAGTTCTGCCAAGATAAGTTTGGTCATATAAAGTTCTCTTAATCTTCATTAGAATAACAGTATTCGATAAGTATATGTAAATTAATAGAATCACGGACTTCAAGTTATATTTGACTATTCTTGTATTGATATTTGGCTTTCACACTTCAGGATTTTATTTTTCTACCGTTTGGTTCATAGTGTCGTTTTGCAATAGACATTTATTTCACGGGTACGTGGTTTGCGTGCGCTTCATCAAGAGAATCTGTTGGCTAACATAATGTTCATTCCTAATTATCTTCCGATCCTGAAAAATGTTAAAAAGCCACATAACTTAATAGGTACAGACTTCTTTAAAAATGACTTTGTATGCAAGCCTAATATAATCAATAAGTCTCTGAAATTCCAGGTTCATTTTCCTGAAAATCAGTGACGATTAACTAGACAAGGTTATATGCCTTCCAATATTTATCTCTCAAAAATTCTAATATTCAGCAAGTTAAACCAGTCTTTATATAAGTGTAATCATCGCTAGATTTCATGTTCGATTCATTGGGTTGTTATGAATTGGGCTTGTTGATTTGCGACGAAAAGACGTTTGGGGATTGTTAGATTGATGGATACAGTGCCAATCGACTGTAATATTCGATAATATTATGTGGCCAAATAATGACTAAACACGACCGAATTATTGGCATAAACCCTCAATGAATTAATATCAGCAGATAAAACAACCGCTATATTGGAGTTTTTTGACAAAACTTTGAACACGAATAAAAATTATTAGGACTTTTAACAAGCAAACGATTAGAGGATATGAAATTGTTTCATTCACCCTACACTGAGATTAATGTTTAACTATAAGACTTGATTCTTTCTCCGTCATACCGCCTCCCTTAAGAAACAATCTGAGATGCTTTCGTGATAACACTTGTAAAACTATAGTACTTTCAATCCCTATATTCAGTTTTCTCGGGAAACAGTTCTCTTACGTCTTCAGGTTGCAAGACACTTATCCATCATTGCCCGATTCTCAAGGCACCATAAACTTTTCCATTCACTTCCTCTCTTTTCTTTAGCCTGAACACTCACCACATGACTTCATATTGTCTTTTATGGCCTAGTATTCTTGGACACTACTTCAATTGACTTGGAGAAAAAAGTAAATATATTTCGAAGCAGAAAGGAAAGTTAATCAGTTATATATCGAATAAAATGAATATCATCTAATAACGAAGTAATTGTCACCAAGTTCAAATCACCGTGCACTAATTAATACTATGAAGTTAGACTAAAAATAAAATAATGAACTTCGTACTGAACGAAGCCCACTATAATTCAGTGTGTGGATCTTAAAATTAATTTTCCATAAATATAGTATTTGGGGATTCTGCATCCCCAACACAATCTGTAGATATACGAGCGGCCAAAATGTTTTTGTGTTGTAAGACAGAGCATTAGTACTCTTCATGAACTTGCTTGATGAGTAGCATATTAAAGCTGATTAACTGTGTGCGTGTTGTACACTTGACTGGATGTTCACAACCCAAAAATAAGCATCCTAGACATAAAACCGGCGAGTTTTATCGAAATTCCGACAAATGTTATGGCTGAATTTAAATCTCTAATAAATTCAAGATACTTCATTGAATTTGTCCTATTATAGCCTAGGAACCACTGTATTGATTCTTCATTAAAATCCATTATCTCAACTATTATTGATTCAGATTTAGTAACTTGTGAATAGTGTTCAGATTGTGACTTAGTAGTATTTTGATAATTGAATGCACAGTGCTTTCCACTCATCCATCAATAATTGACATTTTAACAAGTGATTTATGTCGCTGATGCGTTAAGCATTAGTTTTAGGTATGGGTTTAATTGCAGGTATTTTCCAGTTGAATGTATTATACGTTAATTTGTATTCATAACAATATTTATCACTTTAAGCGTGTGTAGCAAAACACTTTATAAACCACGTTTATACTACTCAGAGGTCTAAACTAATCTACCTTTGTGATTTTCATAATGAAATAATTTCAAAACTTTGTACCTTATTGCTAAAAGGAGATGGAAAGATACCTTGTTTATAGTAGTATGGAAAAGAAGGAGCTAACAGTTAGATTATTACAGAATGCACTACCTAATCGTGTATTCTCCAAGAAGGCTGTAAAAAAACAATACTCATTAACTGAAAAACGTGATTATTTCTCCACACAAACATATACAACATTTTACGTTTTGATCTATGGTATTTCTCTCCCATTTTACCATTAATAGGAAGAACCTTCTTACTGTGGACTAGCCAGTTTAGTTATGATTCTGAATGCCTTAGGACTAGATCCTGGACGTGTATGGAAAGGACCTTGGCGTTGGTATCACGAGAGTATGCTAACGTGTTGTCTACCACGGGATGTACTGACTAAAGGAATTACCCTAGATGATTTTGTTAAAATTGCTCGTTGTTACGGTTTAGACGTAAGTAAATGTTTATACAGTTTGGCTTAATTTACTTTTACCCACTTAAATGTATCCATTTTTTGAAATTACTGGTTATCATAACATGCAGAAATACGTAAACCAAGTGCCCTGGTACGGCCGAGAGTGGGAAGAGTCAGCTCTCCCTCTCGAAATGCTCTCGCATGACATACAACCGCTGCCAGGAAAGTCCTACTCACTGCCTTATCGCAGTGGGGGTGTCGTTTATAAAATTGAGAGGACGAAAAGCGAATGCCCTAATGAGACAAATGGCGTATGAACCTATTGTTGGTCACTGGCTACCATTGGACTGCATCTACTTACGTTACTCCACTGTCTTGTGGATCAGACCTCTAGGTCAAGGGCTCGGGGTGTGGCTCTTTAAGAAGATCACTCGCTTCGGTCTGGGCTCCCGGGCAGTATTCCAGCCCTTACACAAACCGAGTGATTTATGTGATGCATATATGTTTGGTGCCTCCCTAGTTCCAATGTTTATGTGTTTAAATAAAAATAGTAATAAATAATAGCGAAATAAATGAAAGAAAAATTAGACCTAATGTAATTATACAAAATCAATTTCATGTAATGAAGCTTTCGTCGTCCCTAGTTTATCTTTACTCCATTAATTTTTTACTTTTCGCAGTCAATTTTCTCCCCAATAAACAATATAAGGTATAAGTACTACAGACACTGTACTTTATGTGTATGTGAGCAACTGAAATCTGTCTTGTATGACGAGTAGAGAATTTAATGATAGTCTATACTTAAATACTCTCAACTAGACTACAGCACTACTCACTCAAAATCCCCATAGCATGCAATCAGCTTTAGCTCAATAGTAAACAAGTACATCGACCAGATTGTCATCTTCACGTTGAAAAAGGTGATATTTTACAGGTTCATTACAATAAACAGCTTGGATTAAACTAGACAACTTGGACTTTGCAGTTGAAGACAGCTAGTATAGCTTCATCCTCTGCAGCAGTACACCTCAGTTTACACAACGGTAAAAGCAAGATACTCAAGTACAGTACCGAAAAAACCAGCCCAGTCACACTTGATGAAGAAGCTGTGGAACAGGTGGAAACTTTCACGTACCTGTTCAGCATAATCGATGAACAAGGAGGATCGAATGCAGATGTGAAAGCAAGGATTGGCAACGCAAGAGCAGCATTTCTACAATCGAGGAAAATATGGAACTAGAAACGACTTTCAGCAACAAGAATGGTGACAGATTTGCAAATTTGTGTGCTTTCAACAAAAGGGTCATAGGCGGCACAACATTCACACACACAAAGCTATATGAGTCTCATTGGATCACACTACGCGGAACCAGATCGAATATATTTGCATCAGTAAAATATTCAGTGGGTCAATGGAAGACGTGAGTAATAGGAGAAGAGCTGACATAGATTCAAATCACTACTTAATGGTTGTCAAGATGAAACTGAAGCCAAGAAGCACAGGACAACTAGAGAAACAGTATTATACGCCGGACTACAGTGCAATGTCGTTCACGGACAACAGACCACAGACGCATTCAAAGTGAGGACCGGACTCAGAAAAGACTGCTGTAAGGGCAGCAGTCCTGCAGTTGAAGAACTGCACGGAACTCAAAACAACTGTCAACCAATATCAAAGTGAGGATCTTCAATACGAACATCAGTTCAGTTCTACTGTACAGAGCTGAAACTTGTATAGCTACGATAGCCATCATCAATAAGGTACAAGTATTTATAAACAGTTGTCCACTCAAGATACTCAATGTCCGTTGGCCAAATGCCATCAGCAACAACCTACTGTGGGAGAGGATAAACCAGGTTCCAGCTGAGGAGAAAATTAGAAAGAGACATTGGGGATAGATAGGACATACATTAAGGAAATCATCAGACTGCATCACGAGGCAAGCGCTAACATGGGATCCTGGAGGGGAACGGAAAAAAGGATGGCCAAAGAACACACTGCGTTGGGAATTGAAAGCAGACATGAAAAGGATGTATAGCAAGTGGAACCAACTGGAAAGGATTGCCCAAGACAGTTCGATGAGAAATCCCGGTGGGTGGCCTATGCTTTTTCACGAAGGGTAACAGACGTAAGAAATTAAGCTTCAGGTGCATGGCAGTTCAGTGCACATCAAAGCTCTGTAAACACAATTTCGTATATTGACAGATGCAATTTATTGTGGCCTTTGGGGCATGAAAGTATCACATGCACCTCTTGGATTTTTTCAAGATTAATCTCGTCCCTTATATCCACTCAAGTGAGTATAAAACTACCTAGATGTTTCCAAGATTTGATTGTGACGAACTGCATGGATAAATAAGGAGTTTACCAATTGAGCACACTTCATACAATTTATGAAAAAAATTGTACTTGTGAGCGATAGTCTGTTGTTTTCAAAAGATTTAGTTAGTTTTTATGTCTCGGAACGATGATTTATCGATAGCATATTCAATGTCAAAATTTTTTCCTGAATATCTGTTGTTCACCGCTGGAACTTTATGAATATCATTAGTAATATAGTTAAGAAAGTACAGGAAAATTGAGCAGATTTTTTCAATGTGTGTCATTTGACTTAACGAATGTCGCCCACCATAGTCCATCTGTTTGGCTAAATGCTTTTTTCATATAGATATCCTGAAAGCTATTTTCCATAATAAGTAGTTTCATTCCAATTGCGTTTTACTTATCTGAAAAAGTTAGTGGTGTACACAATCAGCATTTGTTTGGTCGATGTATGTCGACGAATCTCAAATGTTTTGTGAGCTAATATGAAGTAAGTGGTTTTTAGTAACTTAACGCTTGAATATATGATATTCAGTCAATAATTATTTAATTCAAACTTAAGCATAATTATATCATGGGACTTACAATTAGATGGTTCGGATATTACCAAGTGTAACAGACCAACTTGTTTACGTTACTTTGTTACCGATGATTTAGATAAACTCCGGTAAAAACCTCTCAATTCCTTCAAATAAATTGTGATCGGTAATTCGGCTGCATCGTTTGTGTTGTAGTACCATTGTCATACACTACATAAAACCATGGCCTATGTATCCAGTTAGTTTTGTAAGGAAATTCGGTGAGGCTATAATTTATGGACGACCTTTGAGCGATCCTAAAATGACCTTCAGAATGTCCATCTACTAACTAGGACTAAATGAGGGTCATAAACCAATGTGAGGAATTAGAATTATGATTTAAAATAGGCAGTTGAAGTTCGAAATTAGATTTAGTTTTCATCACGAACTGAAATCGGCTGAAATGCCAAAACCCTATTTAGCCAAATGGATGAATGAATTTCGCGGCAAAATCCAAGACCTTTTACCTCGTAATTGGTTGGTTCGTCCATAAATTATAGTCTCGCCCCAAGTTTTTATGGTGTTTGTCGGTTTCCTTCATGTTATCGAGAAACTTTAGCGTATTTAGAATTGTACTGACTAAATTCTTCTACTTTTTATTCTTATAATTAGGTGGACTTACATCGCGTTTCTCCTGATACTTCACTGTCTTATTTTCGAGATGTGGTGACGAAAATGACTTCAGGGTCCTCTGAAGGTTATCTTGTTGTCTGCTATAGCCGCAGCGCTTTAGGCCAGACGGGTACAGGTCATTTCGCCCCAGTAGGTGGTTATCATCCTGATAGAGAACTTGTCTTTTTATTTGATACAGCTCGTTTCAAATACCCGCCTCATTGGGTTTCTCTAACAAAACTTTGGTTTAGCATGAACCAGGTGGATCCTGACACACAACTACCCCGAGGTTTTGTTGTCCTTCGGAAGGCCGCAGTTCCAGTTTCCATAGAACAGCTGGTTAAAGCTCAAAAGGAACTTCGTCTAAGTTTTAGCAAAGATACAAATGATGACCATGAGGATAAGTTAGTTAATGAATCTGGTTTATGCTTATTTGGAATTTCTGACAGTGCTTACCAAGTACGTCTAGTTGCCTAAAGTTGTCTTTTTGTTAACTTGCATTGTCTATTTCTAGTTAGTTATATGGAATACATCCATTAAATAATCAAACAAGCTTTCATGTTTTTCAAGTGTCTGTCGTTAGATCCCACACAATTTTATCTCTTAACTTTTTACATCTTGTATCGTTTACTGTAAAAATCTAGATAAATCTTGTTCCAGTTACCTTGATACACAAAAACGACGCAGAACAGAAGTGTTTATGTGCATGTTTTGGTTTAGGACTTGATGAATGAACAAACTCGATCGGTTAATGGGGCTTACTGATACAATATGGTCAAATGATAATTGGTTTTGAGACTGGACTAATAAAATAAGATGACAATAAGTTTTTATAGTTTTTTTTACAGTGAAATAGTGGTGTACACTATATATTAGTTACTAAAACAAGCTTTGTTAAATGTCATTTGAAGTATAAGCAATTCGAAGATAAGGATTTTGTGGGTCTCTGAAGCCTCAATAAAATTAAGCTGTGATATAGAATGATCAACTTTTGCCCTAGTATACTGGTATAAATTCCTATTTCCCCATTAAGTCAGTCAGCTACAACGTACGATTAGGCACATATATGCATCGGTCCAAGTTGCCATACCTCATTAGCACAACAAGATGAACACTGGATTCATAGCAGTAGTTACTTCGCTGGTAGTAATGTATAAAAGAAAGATTGCATATAAGGACATAGATAATACAAGAAGAAAGATATGAAGCGATTTTAATCTTTCTTCCAACCATACCCAACACTAGTCAGCATTGCGTGTCGTGGTAAACGGTGTTCAGGCATACGTAACACGTGGCCCAACCATCTCAGTCGATGAAGATTCACAACCTCATCAACTGATTTACCATCTTCATTCCCTAAAACCCTGCGTCTAACCTCACTATTACTTACCCGGTGATCCCGGCAGATGCGAACAATATTTCTAAGGCATCTGTGCTCAAATACTAGTAGCTTACGAATATCTTCTACTCTTAATGGTCATGTTCCGTTGCCGTAAAGTAAGACAGGACGGACTGCCGCGCAGTATACTCGTCCTTTTATTGATAGACGGATATCTCACCTTCGCCAAAGGTGACGTAAGTTGGCAAAAGCCAAGCGAGTTTTTCGAATCCGTGCTGAGATTTCGTCCGATACCAACCCATTAGGGCTGATCAGACTTCCAAGATAAGTGAAGTTGCCAACGCGTTTGACCACTTCACTCCCTATCCTTAGTTCAGGTGTTGACGCAGACCAGTCCTGAAGCAACAACTTGCATTTCGAGGGAGAGAAGCGCATCCCAAACATTCTGGAATTGTTGCTCAGTGCTACCAAAAGACTGGATTTTATCGGCGTCTTCATCAAACAGGACTATGTCATCTGCGTATTCTAAGTCCATAAGTAAATCTCCTGGAAGGAGATCAATGCCCGAGAATTCAGTCGACGAGAGTGTTATTTCCATCAGTAGGTCTATGATGAAGTTTTAAAAAATGGAGATAGTGGACAGTCTTGACGGACCGCACTTGAGGTTGCAAAAGTAGATGACAGTTCGCCATATGCTCTGACTCGACTAGTAGTATCTGAGTAAAGAGTCTTCACAAGGTTTATGTACTTCTGAGGTATACCTTTGAATGACAGACACTGCCACAGAACCTCTCGGTCAACAGAGTCAAGTGCTGCTTTTAAGTCAAGAAAGACCACCATTGTCGGACGCCGATAAGTATGCATGTGTTCTAGAACCTGACGAATGGTGAATATGTGGTCGATGCAGCCGCGACCAGGTCTACAGCCAGCCTGATTTTCTCGTGTTTGCAGTTCACGAGTCTTAGTTAGGCGTCTGATAATTATCGAAGCTAGTATTTTAGATGCTATATTAGTCAAACTAATCCCTCTGTGGTTATCACAGAATGATTTTGACCCTTTCTTATATATTGGAACAATCAGTGATTGTGATTGTAGTCGTTTGGAGCGTAGGCAGAAACGACGAAAAGCAACAACGTGTGTCCCTATCCTTCCGAGTTCTTACTTAGCCGTTTAGCCGAACAGCACATAGACGACTGTTAACGGGAATCCACTCTAAGTACTTGCTCTGCCCTTGTACCTTGTGCTATGTCTACATCTGCCAGTCTATGAGAACTAGCCATCGGGTCGCCAAATACACCAAGGGTGTATCTCGTCGGCTCCGTTTTGGCGAGGTGAGGTCAAGTGAATGACCACACTATGATGCTGTATGCATGTTTTGGAGACACAGCATACATCAATGGCACGAGATTCTAGGGTTTTAGCCGAAGAGACCCTGCTGGCCGATTTGACATAGTGTGCGTACGTTGAAAGCTCCAATGTGTAGTTTGGAGCGAGGTTTCAGTAGACCTGGGACAGTGTTTTGTGCACTAGAATCGTTGGCTATGGTGACACTTGAGAAGGGGGTTTAGTGTTGAAAGTCGATATGGGAGGAATATTAAGAATTGAAGAGGGAGGTTGATTATGAACACAATGGTCTTGGGTGCTGTTAGAGGTATGAGGGCTGTTATCACTTCCCGGTTCTTCTGGAGGTACCTGAAAAGGAAATTGGATTAAAGGTGGTCTTAGTGACTTGAGAGCATGACCGTAGTGCCCAAGAGACAACTGCTTGAGGCCGGTCAAACACAACTTTTTTATGAGTAATTTTCACTTTAGCTCCGTACTTGTTAAGACCTTACCGTCGGAAACCGATATCTATGAGATAAGACGAGGCGTGCATTTTTAGGGTTGACCTTTTCTAGCCCCACCCCTCCTTGTGGGAAAGCAGCATCACTTTTATGCTGGTTGTCTGAAGGAAACACCTTACTGCCGTCATACCCCTGTACAGTCAGCAGTACGACTTCGCCTTCGGACCTTGGGTTTGTTGGTTTTAGTCTTACCGCTCTTCAATCGACCTGTCTGGCATGGTAGGATCCTGAGGAACGATTGTTCCAGCCAGTATAGCTCGATTGGTTCATCACGATAGGCAAGCCCGACCACTACGTCAAGGTAGCAACAACGGTCGGGCATTTCCCTATCCGACGTAATAAGCTCGAAGAAATAAATCACCAAGAGAGAAAAGGTAGAGAAGTAATTATGCAAATATTAGTATGAACTGAAAAATACTTAGTCAACGGAAATAAAGCAATTATTCCAGCAAGGACTTTTCTTTTGAACGATTTCATTATCAAAAGCTTCGCAACCGTATTTATATAACTAATGTAATGGACAAGTTTCATTGGTATGCATGTGTGTATAATGAGTGAAAACCATAGACTTAATACTATATATCTATTTTATTATCATAATAATATTCAGTAAAATATATTTTTCATTGTCAAAATTGGTGGTTTTATAACTTCTAACAAATTTCACGCTTGCAAGGATTATTAAGAATGTATTCCTTTTTGTTATAAGATATATATTACATGCTAAACAGCGAATTCTCGAAACAAATACACTTGGGGGATAGCATTGGTTCAGAAAATTCTTCATTCATATAATTGTTAAGTTGTTTTAAAATACTAACGTATTTCAGCATTTTTATCCTGCTTTATTTTTCTTCCAAGGCTTATTCGTCTCCATCTGTCTTACGTGATCCAAATTCTACTGGTTACAAGTTGAAATTATTGGTAGATCGATGGATTAATTGGTTAAGATATGCTTCAGAAGTTCCCAGTGAACTTTCAACACACTTTTGGTATGAAAGTTTGACATTTCTGTTTGATGAGATCGACCAATTAAGACCAACTAGTTTCTTTTTTGTGATTCATCCTTTCACGACTTCAAATGCTCAACTAAACAACACTGATAATCAGTTTGTAAACTTTTCTACGCATGATACATTACGTGATCTTGTTGGATCAACACTGGGTCATATAGTTACTGATTTCATGTCAAAAATGAACAAGGAATACTTAACGTGGTTGACTTCCGATGGTACTTTCCGTTTGTCTATCTCAACTCCAGATTCTTGGACTAGACCCACTAATGATTGCCCTTTCACAGTCTTATCCGATCCTGGGCTAAGATTTTGCTTATTAACAACCAGTTTCTTATTGGCTTTTCCTTATGACAATTTTATTTCGAATAATTTATTATTCGATAATTCAGTATCGTCGTGTTTGTCATCATCTAATTGTGCATCACGCCTTCAGATAATGAAGAAATTAACAGAAGATGTAAAACTGTTACCTACAACTCTTACTGAATTACGTTTGCTACGAAATACACTGCAGTCTTTAATGAATACAAACAGAAATCTCTGGTGTACAGGTTGTGTAGAGCAAAAGTGACATGTTATTTACACTTTTGATAAACCCTTTTATCTAGGTATATTCTTCTTTTCTAACCAGGATTCCTGGTGAATCTAACGTTCAGTTTCTTATTAGTTATATGATACATTATTTTTTCACAAACCATGTTTTTCCAACTACATTTAGTGACATATATGACTGTGAAATGATGGATGAGCGTTGCAGCTCAGGTGGATGCTTTCATTGTTGCTATGGACAACATCAGCGCCTACTCCATATGAGACGGCAATGAAAGCTCCGCAATTAAGTTCTCTAGCTCAAACAATACAAAACACCCAATAACATATTATTTCTTGTCAATTCCGAATTCGCCTGTTTATTTCAGTAAGATTTATACCTTTACTAGATTAAGAATGGAAAATTATTTTCTTTTTTATAATAACTATCGCGTTTATTGGTTTTCTCGATTGGTCTGTGTACAAATTCTAAATATGCGTTTATTGTCTTTGCTCTGGGTCTCTTTATCAGAATTGATTTTCTTTTGTATAAGATTCAATATGAATAAATCTTTTAATGAACTAGTATGTTTTTTATTGAACGCGTTTGCTTACTGGCTGACAAACAGATTATGGGATTTGACACAAGGCATCAATTCAAGTTAAGAAACTCCATAATAACAGCAAAATAAAGTCTTATGAATTCAAATATAAAGTAAGTAATCTCCATATATTGGAATGTTTAACATTTCGGGTGAGTTTATTCAAGCCATTAGGAAGAAGGTTGTACTACCATGTTGCTAAATGCTCTGATACAACTGAGGGTTTAAACAGTCATCGCTCCCTCTCGAAATCCTCTTAAATGGTCCTACTTCCATAACCTCTGTCAAGGAACTCCTACTCATTGTCTTCACGTAGCAAGAGTTTTGTTTACGAGAATGAGGAGCGAACGTCTGACGCTTAGACCGGACTAATGGGTGTAAAGAGCCCAATTAGTGTCCATTTTGCCTCATTTGGGATCCTCACTATGAGTAATAACGCTTGGACGATTTTACAAAGAGTCCCAAATAAAACGAAACATATCTCGTATTCCTGTGCGAGCTAAAATCTGGACGTACTTAAAACTTCTTGTTTACAAACGATCGATCGGTGGGTAGTGCCCAGTATCTCAGATCCTTCTTAGTGCACATCGAATTCCATCGATTATATTGCAATATGGTCACTAGTCTAGGTGACCCGACATCGCGTGCACAATGTTGAGATTTAAGGTGGTGGTTGGAAGCGCAGATAACTCTAGTAACATAAGTGTGAAGACCGAATCCGCCGGGGAGCATTATTTCCCTGAAGTTTACAAGTACATCTTGTTGTCGAGTCCCAAATAACACGAAACCTGGGTCTAGAGTTTCCTGCCGACTGTCTCTTACCACCACTTTACAACTTCACTTTGCATTTATACTCTTCGTGTATTGAAAAAATCAATTTGATTGTAAACTTCTTAATTGGCCTAGTCATAAAGAATGAGAACTACAAACCCTCCAGCCTATCCGTTGACAACTACTTTGCTCGAAAATAATAGAACTCAGAATTTAATTTTATGTCATGCAGGACATAGGTCGTAGCAATATTTATACATAGATTAGAACGATTTCATTTCATGAAGCTTTATGAGATATTCTGATTTCAAAACAAATGATTGATAGATTGTATAAATGGCTGGAATTTACAAATGTCGACAGTTTCTGCATAATACGATTTATCCACTAAACGATCATCTCTATAAAATGCAGGGATAAATGGTCTTAATTCCATAAAATTAAGAATGAAATGGTTGGGTATATGTTTTAGATGAGTTAAACTTAATGCAACCGAGCTGTATGTTATACGATCTGCGGGATGGTTGCCTACTTATATTCATAATCAATTGCTGGGGTCAATGTAGAAGAAAAGAAACCTTAGTGGTTAGATTCAGAAATGTCCCAGACCAATTAAATTACTATGTGCTCAAATGCATGAGGAAAAAATGTAGCGTAAAGTACTATAGTGTTCCTTTTACTTTTAAATTGGAAAATGTACTTTGTTTCTCAAAATACCTCATTAGATTTAGGATATCCGTTGTTGAATACTTTGGTATAGTCATGGTTTGAACTGTATTATGATTATCCATACAGATTTGTATAATTGATGTCACATGACTGACATATACCACCAAATAACCGTCTTACTTACGCCTGTTACTCCCGATTGAGCATAGGCCGCCGACCAGCATTCTCCAACCCACTCTATCATGAGCCTTCCTTTACAGTTCTGTCCAATTTTTGTTCATTTTTCTCATATCTGTCTCCATTTCTCGATGTAATGTGTTCTCTGGTCTTCCTCTTCTCCTTTAACGTTGAGGATTCCAAATGAGGGCTTGCCTTGTGATGCAGTTGGGTGCTTTCTTCAATGTATGTCCTATCCACTGAGGTTTATTCAAGGTATTTATCACTAATATAGAGAGTAAATCAAGTCTTCGGTGATCATTACCCGATCCATTTGATCAGTTCCCGAGTTTTGAATAATTACTGTCCTACTCCTATCCATCTTCAAATAATCTCACACATAAGCAAAGATGGATAGTCGCTAGAAGTGGAATCCAGGACACGCGTTTCATCATATTTGGGACTCGTCAGCTGGATGTACCTGCATCTCAGATTTGATGTTCACTCTGGGACTCGAACCCGGTGCTATTCGATTCAAACGTCATCGAGTTATTCACTCAGCTACTGAGTCTTTATAGCCACTTGCTTGTGCAATGGGGTGAACTTAAATTCACTTGGTATTGTTTTGCTTGTATCTGCCAATAACAGACTGATCAATTGCAGTCTTAAAACCTCAATGGTAGATACAAGCAAAACAATACCAAGTGAATCTTACACATAATTATTCACATATAGATATATACATTACTTTTCATTTCACTCTTCATGATACATTTCAATATGGGTACTATTGTAAGCAGCTAGTGAGTAAACATAAAATAAAAATAAATTTATATAGTTTTACATCATTCGTTGTTTCTGTTTTATTTAAAAAAAAACATATCAATATCGGCGATTATTTATACAAATACAGTATTCTACTACTGAGTAGTAGAAATCGATAGGACACACATTGAGGAAAGCACCCAACTGCATCACAAGGCAAGCCCTCATTTGGAATCCTCAACGTTAAAGGAGAAGAGGAAGACCAGAGAACACATTACATCGAGAAATGGAGACAGATATGAGAAAAATGAACAAAAATTGGACAGAACTGTAAAGGAAGGCTAATGATAGAGTGGGTTGGAGAATGCTGGTCGGCGGCCTATGCTCAATTGGGAGTAACCGGCGTAAGTAAATAAGTATTCTACTACTATCAAAACATAAGTTTACTACACTTCATTATAAAAATAGTCATAATAATAACGATAATCTATTTTCTGTTTTGTTTATTTTTTGTTAATGTAACCTAAGGTAGTTCAATATAGTGCGTTTATTGTGTTTTGTCTAATTTAAATAACATTTTATTCATCGTACTGTTATGACCTCCAAATATAAATGAAATTCTTTAAAGCATATGATTTGTTATTTTATTATAAATGTAATTTTATTTATCCAAAATTTATTGTCTGTATTGAATAAAGTTAACTGGAAAAAGGAATTCTGAAGTTGTTATTAGCATATATATATCAGTCATGTTTTAAGTGACTGTTCATTAATTTATTGTAAAAAAATACTTTAAGTTGACCTGTTTATGAAAACTTAGACTATTGTATGTAAACATTGTTTCATTAAAATCACTGCATATCATAAATATGTATTGGTTCAGTTTATCACGTCTTAACAGATCAAAGTGAAAAGCTACAATCGATGAAGTACAATCATGTCGGGAGTGAATACAGATATTACCAATGGAATTAGATAATGGTTGCGCTATATTACCACAAATTGATGGAAGTTTGTAATGTGAAGATCATGGAATTTCAACACAATAGTTTTGAAGTTAAAGCGTTGGCCAAAAAGAATGAAGGTACTGTGCTCGATCTGTTGTGAGTAGGGACGAATTGAGAGTTTAAAAATGGAAATAAACAAACGATTACTGACTTTTAGTTTCGAATGTTTCTTCTATAAATATCAGTCTGACCAACTTCTAAGTAAGCGGTCTTTACTAACCCTTGTGAATATAGAAAGATTTCAAATGAAGACAAGCCACTGAAAACATATCAACATCATACGGCTTGATATTTCCAAACAGATTTCTAAACAATCCGGGTAGATTATTGGTCCAATTGAAAATCGATGAGAATCAAAATAGTGGCGGCGACTTTGTGATGTTTGATAAGAAAGTTTCCTTCTGCAAACATAGCAAATGGTTGGATTATAGTGTCGGTTGACATGTTAAGCCCATATATCTTATTCTAGCTTTCGAACAGGCAAATCCATTCATTCGTATTATCTTATCGATACTTTGTCCTCTTGTCAACTATTCTCATTGATCCACTTGTCCATTACGATTCAAATTATCATCATATGCTTATTAGTACATTATTATCATAACTCCGCCTGTAGCTCTTCTCGAGTTACTGCCGTCCCCAAGCCCGGGTAAAGGAGGTGGGGTGGGCATGGGGTTAGCGACCCCATCCCGTAGAAAACTAACTCGCTAAAAAAACGCTAACCAGAAAAACAAATAATTCAAACCATTTAAACTCTGCCCTAGGAGTTATAAGGTATTCATTTAGAAGAATTATGATGCTTCATGGTGAAAGCCGAGTTCCTTCGAGAGCCATGGGGCCGATTCCCCTTCTAACAACCAGAGCAAAAATTTTTATAGGTACATGGAACGTCCGAACAATGTGGGAGACCGGGAAGACCAGTCAAATAGCAACGGAAATGGGGAGATACAACTTGGCAGTGCTCGGAATCAGCTGGACAACAAAAGCTAAATACGGGAGAAATGTTGCTATACTCCGGCCACAAAGAGGAATATGCTCCACACACTCAGGCAGTTGCTCTAATGCTGTTCAAAGTAGCACGAAATGCACTTGTAGGATGGGAATCTCACGGATCCAGAATCATCAAAGCATCATTCAAAACAAAGAAGGAGGGGATCACAATGAATATTATCCAATGTTATGCACCCACCAATGATAGCACCGACGACATTAAAGATCAATTCTACGAGCGGCTGCAGTCAATCATAGACAAATGCCCAAGAAACGACCTCACCATTCTTACAGAAGATCTAAATGCCCAAGTCGGAATAGACAACACCGGATATGAAGATATCATGGGACGACATGGACTGGGACAGAGAAACGAAAATGAAGAAAGATTTGCAAATCTGTGTGCATTCAACAAATTGGTCATACTTACTTACTTACTTACGCCTGTTACTCCTCGTGAAGGAGCATAGGCCGCTCATCAGCATTCTCCATCCAACCCTGTCCTAGGCTATCCTTTCCAGCTCCTTCCAGTCATCATTCATCCTTTTCATATCTGCTTCGATTTCCCGACATAATGTGTTCTTTGGCCTTCCTCTTTTCCGCTTCCCTTCAGGATTCCAAGTTA